GATTAATGGTGATGGGAGTGCAGGTGACCGGAAGCCACAATACTCGGAGTCATGCTGGTTAGAAGTCCTGCTCTCTGTCACCCACACCACACAACAAAGAAGCAGGATGGAAAGCCCAAATCCCAATGTGTCTCTTTCCCGTGATGCATGGCAAATGCAAATGCCAGATGTTCTATTTTTTTAAATGTCCCGATATGAGGAAAGAAAGAATAGTGCATGCGCTATGTCTGTCCAAAAACAAAACAAAACAAAAATCTATACCAAGAGAAAGCAATGAGCAAACCAAACCTCTAATGTGCCATTTTTGATGTCTTTGCTCTTTGTGACCTGGACTATACAATTTGATCTTATTAAAATGTGCTGAGAGCAACATTCTAGGGACATAAAAATGTGAATAGCATCCTGTTCTTCATGAATCTCTCACATGACAAGAAACATAAAACACGTACATATATACAAATCTAAGAGTGAAATCTATAGTGCTGTGCTCTAAACATGCAGATGTCTTCCCTTTTGGAGGAGATGGTATTTGAACTCTTTTCCATCAGAGTCCTTTTTTTTTAGTTTTTCGAGACAAGGTTTCTCTGTAGCTTTGGAGCCTGTCCTGGCACTAGCTCTTGTAGACCAGGCTGGCCTAGAACTCACAGAGATCCGCCTGCCTCTGCCTCCCGAGTGCTGGGCTTAAAGACGTGCGCCACCACTGCCCAGGCCAGAGTCCTATTTTAACAAAGGAAGAAATAGAGAGTGAGTGAGGCCTACCATGAGCAAGACGGGTTTGTGGCAGAACTGTCTGTTCATAATGATCTAGGTCAGGTCAACACCTCCCACCTGGAGGAATTGCACAAGCATTTGCACAGCAGAGATCATGTAGAGGATAGAGATCAGTAGCTCCATGTGATTCTACATGTCAGACCCATGGGAGGAAATGTCAGGTCTGCTCTTCAGTGGCAGTTGGAAGAAGGCAGAGGTAGATATGCTCACTTTCTAGGTATTAATATTCTTGAATGAGCACGTATTGATGAAAAGGCTATAGTTGGGAGCAGGGGTTCTGGAGAGACAGCTCATCAGCTAAGAGTGAGCCCCGCCCTTGAGGAGGACCATAGTTCAGTTTTCGGGAACACGCAGTGAAGAGCACCTCTGTCTGTAACTGCAGCTCTCAGGAATCTGAAGCTCTCCTCTGGCTTTCAAAGACACCTGCGCTCACACATACTTTGCCATCCCACGTACATTCATGCATAATTAAAAATAATACCTATATATGTGTATGTATGTATGTAATTCTTTAAGAACTGGAGAGAGGATAACTTCCTTGACTACAGCTTCTGCTTGCACTATTTGGAGTTGTTTTACATGCGTTGAGTGTTTACCAGATTCTAGGCGTCATATGCGTTTTACAGGCTTGTGCCCATACCTTATCCACACCCTGCATGTCCCGACTTGCAGAAGGGGATGTGGGAGGGTTGATGAGCTGACTCATCCTGTCCTTTCTCATGGGGAGCAGTTCTTGTGTGCACGTCATAGAAGGCCATGGGTGACTGCACAAGAAAGGTATCAAATGGCTGCTGGTGTCATGAATAAGATTGTTTAAAAAAAACTTCTCAGAAAGTTTGACAATGCAAACAACAAAGATGTGCTAGGCAGGAGACCGGGGAATCAAAGGTTTCAAGTCTATGTAACTGGAAGGACACTGTGGAGATAAAGAGCATGGGAAGGCCTCATCTGATAGGGTAGCAAATGTATTTCATTTTTTTACACAGTGAATAATGTTAGAGTATTATCAGGAAGTTCTCAGAATTAAGCACAACCTATAAGCTCCATAGACACCAAGTCTTCTCTCAGGGCTCTGTTGTTTAAGGAGGCTTGAAGGGCACAGAAGGAAAGAACATTTTACTCCAGGAAGTCACAAGAGTGGCTGGCCAGATTGAAATCAGGTGCCATGATATCAGCTTGGGGCTGAAAATATAGTTTGGTGGTACACACTTGCCTTACATGTGAGAGGCCCTAAGTTCAAGTCCCCACAATGGAAAATAACAACAGAAGGAATTTTTATCTGGATCCAAGAAAAAGGGCTAGCAATGGGACTAATAAGAAAGGCTAAGGTCAGATTTTACATGAGAGAATCAGTACCCAAGATTAAAAAACCATGTCTAATCTGAGATTGGCTGCCCAAACCAGGAAAGTAAAAAGGGGACTATTATTGGAGTAGAGGGATAGGGGAGCAATAGAGAAAAAGGAATAACAGGGTTCAAGTGATATGATCACAAAAATGGAGAAAAGGAGGGGACTCTAACTAGGGAGGAGGGGAAGGTGCAAACAGGAGGAAGAGGGAGGAGGATAAAATAACAGTAAAGACATCTAAAAATTCATAGGAGATTATACTATTAACTATCTTCCCCCAAACTGTATTACAACGAAGTGTGAGTACATACATAGTTTAAACAAAATTTTCTTCATCTGGGTTAATAATGCTCCCTCCAAGAGCTGAAGATCATATAACAAAAACCCAACACCATGCATGAGTTGCTGATCAATGCTGCTCAGGAGGTCCCCCAAGCATTAGAGGCTACTGCTATTGTACTTGACTGTCCCCCAAAGGAGGAGAGTAAGTCCCAATTGCTGAAGACACCAACCACATCAGAAATAGGGCCTGGAGGTCACCGACCTGACTCCTTGAGGACTAGCTTTCATAGTGCCAGAAGGTGCCATGAAATCTCACAAAGGAGGAAAGCCACCAGCAGTCTTACCTACCCATGATTACCATAAATAAATGGCCAGCGTGGCATAATAACCCTGGGGATGCTGTAGTAGCACACTATTCTTAGTGGTAAACAGCAGCTTTCCAATTCAACTCCAGATCCACTAAAGAAGGAAAATACGCAACCGTAAGAACGAGATGGACAAATGATTCTGAGCCATGAAGTCTCAAATCCATCCCTGGTAAACGCTGGTCAGGCTTCTGGGCTAGATGGACAGGGGCAGGTGGCAGAAAGCCACAGAAAGGAGACTGCAGCTGTGGTGACTGCCCCCGAGGAAGTATTCTCCACATCAGCAGTGGCCGTCCAGGCATACTCAGGGCAATTCTGCCGCAAGTCTTCATCAATCAACTCGTCCTTTTGAGAAGTCATCTCCCCTCTCAACACAAGGCACAAAAGCAGGTCCAGAGAGTTTAGATGGCACCCGTGCCCAGTAAGGAGAGCAATGGGATTTGCATTAGGGAATCCACTCTGGAGCCTGTGTATTGAAGATTGCTGTGTTGACTGGAAGGAACTACAAACTTGCAGCAACCCATTGCTGATTTCTGGTGGGGCAAGTAGGGGTGCTGCTGAGAAAGGGCTTTCCAGGTAAAGCTTTAATTCAGAGGGCTTCTGAATTATCAACCATATAAGAAGTGGATACTCTTCTGTTCATCTTCCTGGACCTACCATGTCCATCCATAGCATGACAAACTAAGCAGGCCTGTGCATGTGCCACAATGTCTGCAGATGTGTTCTGAACAACAGCACATATGAGATCCAGTCATCAGTTGATCATTCTGAAGATACACATTCTCAAGCGGCAAATGTCAACTCAAAACAGTCTCCATTGTCCCATTTTCTTAATTGATTCTTATTGATATAAAAGGGGTTTATGTATGATTTATTTAAAAACATTTTTTATTATTAGGGGTAAGTTTAGGTAGACCATTTTGTATGACTTTTATTCCTTACTCTGTCCCTTTTTAAAAATTCATCTATATAAGTCAATAGTTGTTTTGATCATGATGCTTCAACACAGCAAGAAGAACCCTAACTAAAACACAGCCACACATTTTTCTTTTAATTCAACTGTCTTTAAAACATATTAGCTAAAACTTATAAAATTATCTTCCATCTTAAGATGATAAAAATAAAGAAACAGAGAGTATGCGAATTGGCCAAGGCCACAGCACAGGAATGGGTGTGAGGGTAACATCTGTGAATCTGGCTAACTCTATGATCTGTAACCACAGCTGAGAAAGGCAAGGCGCTTCCCTGTATTATATCCACTCCTATGAGACCCAAGGGTAACAAACCCACCCAGCTGCTTGAAGTTGCATCATTTATATTTTCATCACTACTAGCACACAATCGTTTTGTACATAATTTATTAAAAATAACTGGCAATATTTTTGACAAAATATTAATGACTCTACTGCAAACATAACTGGTATTCCAAAATTTTCCAAATCTTTGTTCTGAAAAATAATTGTCATAAGCCAGCCTGATGAATTCAAGCCAGACACACCAGAACAATCACACACATCACAAGTGCACCTAGAATATCCGTGCACCGAATGTAAGTGCTGAGCTCACGGAAGGAGGTGTGACCTCTGATCTATGGTTGGCTATGAAGTTTACTCATGTATAAATTCTTAACAGTTTTAGATCATTTGGCCCATTCCTATATTTGGTAAAAGCTGTAATTACAAACTATTTTAAAAATAATTTTACAGTCATGTAATTATGACTAGCTATAGCATCTAAAAAGTTATTAAGTTGTCATCCTAGAGATGAATTGAAATTCTTATTCCAAGATGTTTATTTCAGAGACCATCACTATTTCCCATTTCCAGTGTCCCTGAATTAAAGATAGAAATCATAAATGAGCCTTTCTACACTAGATAGCCACATCCTGCTTCTAACTACATTATTGTTGTTTCTGTTATATAGAATGTTGCTTCTAACAGATCATGAAAGAGCCTTAGTTTCGATGAAAAAATTAAAACTTCTTCACTAAGAATGAAGCAATTACCAAAAATTCCAAAGCAAAGTTGCTATTACATTGACCTTAAGAAAACTGACAATGCACATGCTTACATACCACAGAAAAACTATTTTATGAAAAGAGACAACTTTTGAGAACTATTGGATTCTCCAAGTACAAGTTTCAGAATTGACAGGAGAGGGGAAAAAAAGGAAGTGGAAAGGGGATGGGAATGTAGACCATTTGGTATTTCACAGGAAAAACAAAAACAAAAGAACTTGTAAGAGTAATAAAAATATATTTTAAAGAAATTTTGAAATCTAAATTTAACTAACAAAGTCAATACAAAGGAGATGTAGATGCAGTGTAGGATTTCACCCAGAATAGAACCTAAAAGCAAACCCCACTGGAATGGAACGATAAACACACTCAATAACTCCCTGGCAGTCTACTTTTATACTAAGAAGTCAAGCCATGCTACGAGAATACAACAATGTAACACACAGTATATACAGTTTAGAATGTTTGGGAAAACAACAGTTTCCAAGCACCATATGAAAAATCAATTAACCCATTAGCTGGAAATAACAGTTTCTACAGTCTCCAATTGGGATATAGGTCAAGTAGTCCATAAATAGACTCAGATCCATTAAATTTTACTGTACAATAAGTTGGTTGATGTCACTATGCCCAATGTAAACAATAATGCAAATTTCCTTAAAGTTCCACCTGTAGGTGACACCTGGGTAAGAAGGATCAATTACAACCCATGCAGAATGGTTTTCAAGTTCAAATGTACTGAAGTCCAAGGTCTTTCTGAAAATGTGCATCTCTGGAGATTCTGCACACCAAGGCAGGCTGTGGGGGGAGCCCCAAATACAATATCTTCTTTTTTGAAAAAGCCTAGTTTATATTTAAAAGCAGGTAGGAAAAAGTAATAAATCCATTAGTTTGGTTACCCTGGTAGGCGTTCTTCACCTCTTTGTGCATACTTCTGCTAATGTCCTAAATTTAGGCCCCAAATGGTCCAAAAACTCAAGTCTGTCTTCTTCCGGTTGCTCACTGCAGCAACCTACAGAGCCAGCGGTTGAGCCTGTTCCTTCATAGCTGTACGTGAGGACGTAGTCTTGAGCGAGCGTCTGATTGTCATCCTCATGGCACAACTGCACCTTCTGCCAGGGAGAAAACACAACACATTTTATTTTTATTATTTTAAGCACCAAAATGTACTTACAGAAAAAGAATTTCTTTGATTTACCTTTCATTGTTTAATTTTTAATGAGACTGTGTCCTCTAATGGTTTCCTATGTGTAGAAAATGCACATGATTGGTCTGTATCATAAAATTACACCAGAAAGTCAGTCTTAGCATGCCTCTAAAAGTCCTGAATGGCAGTAAGTAACCAAGTGTTCATTTTAAGTGGCCATTGCTTCCCACTCTCCAACCAATGATAAAAGTGAAAGCACACTCAATAAACTGAACCCAAACTGATGTGGGCACCATTCTCTCTCAACAGCAAAGTGATGGTACATATTGCCTTGTGTTAGATGTTGGGCTGTTAAAACAACATTTGTCAGACACAAAATCATAGCACAAAATTATTTACTTAAATAGTAATAAAAGCTATTGGGTGGTGATGGTGCATAACTTTAATCCCAGCACTCAGGAGGCAAAGGGAGGCGGATCTGAGTTTGATGCGAGTCTGGTCTACAGAGCAAGTTCCAGGTCAACCAGGGCAACACAGAGAAACCATGTCTCAGAAGAGCAAAAAGCAGCAACAAAAAGAGTAATAAAATCAATAAAATATTCAGGAAAGTGAATGACCACATTAATATGAACATAATTAAGCCCAAATTAATTAAAAATAGTAACCTTCCAATAAGTATATTCGTCATTAACTAAAAGTAGCTGTCTACCCAAACACTAAGTTGGAACCTTTTGTAAAATTTAAATTATAGCAACAAAAGTTTGGGGAACAGCTCAGAAACTCACTTCACCAAGTCGGGGCTGCGTGAAATTGTGCCACTCGGAGTAAGTGTATCTGTAGTTGTCCACCTCCACGTGTCCTCCTCTACAGGGATCCAGGGTGTGGTGATGGCCGGCCACGCGGCAGGAGTCTAAGGTCTGGTGTCCTCCTTTCACCATCTCAATGGTCTCTTGCCCTCCACTTTTGGCTCCTGCTCCCGACATTCCCAAAGCTGCCTGCCCAGAAGCTCCGACCATTTGAGTTGTGAAGCCGTTTGTGGAATACTGAAAAGATAATGGCACGCATCAGTTAAATATACAGAGGAGCAAACACAGTAGAAGTAGGCAGGTGCAGACGACGCCCTGGCTTAGGTGCATTACAAGGCAATCTTTCCAAACACACGGACTGGATCGGCTGTCTGTCTTTGCAACCGTGAGTACCTCTAGCATGCGCCCTGTACTAAATGCCATGTCTAACACAAGAAAGAAATTGCAGGCACAAATCCCAAAGCTTGATGTAGGTTCCGCCTTTAAACACTCCTTAGCATGCTGGGCAGGTTCCAGTACAGCTTTCCAATGCTTTGGAAGCAGCATTCCTGTGTCACAGGGACTTCTATCTCAGCTAAACCCATCCCATTCACCTTTACAGGCAAGATAAGAGACAGAAATAATGATAAGCTTTCTTGGTCTATACGAAGTCAGTTCCTTCCAACTCAAATACAAAGAAAATTTGCAATAAACATGACATCCCTTCAGATCTACATAAATCAAGGAATGAACTAGGCAGAAAAAAATACCAAAAATGCCATCATTCCTCTTCTAGGTTATGTGTTTACATCCTGAAATATAATTTAAATTTTTCCCCTCGGTCTTTTTTTCAGATATGGTCAGGTTTTTGTTTTGTTTTTGTAGTTTGTTTGTCTGTGATTCTAGACCTTCCCTGCTCTGATCACCAGCTGTGCTTTTTGGGAGATATTTACTTGTTCTTTCTTCACATATTAGAATAGAAAATCAGTGCCACTCAGCAGCCTTTTGTTTGGCTGGTGCTTTGGACTGCCTGCCTCGGGCTCATTTCTAACCCACATTATAGTCAGGAAGAATCCAATAAACCTTTTCCCACCATGATCAAAGTCTGTAGAGACTTTATTGCTGGAGCCAGGTTTAAAAAAAAAAAACAATTATACTGGTGAACTGTTCATAATTAAATGCGATATTTTAAAGCATAAACATCAGTTTAAATAGATTTGTAAGAAATACAGGCCTAGTATTTCTTCATGAGACACATGAAATGGGAAAAAATGCATACTAAAGGATTTTTAATATTAAGCAGCATTGATGGTCAAATTGAAATACCGCACATCCATGGGACCCATATGTGTTTTATTGATTCCCTGGGATGGATGACATTTGCTGCTAAGTCCCCAGACACCAAAAGAAGTTTGTTGAGAAAAAATACCCAACCAAACAAACAACCAAACAAAACTGGTTTTAGAATGAACACATAGTATAGATTAAATTGTCCTCTGTACTTGGTTTAAAGGGACAGATGAGTGACTTACAACTTTGTCATCTCCAGGAGCCTCGGTGTTGGATACAATTAGGTTCTGCTGCGCTAAATCATCAGGAATAACTTTCTGCTGCTTCGTTGCCTGGGAGACACTACAGACTAACGTAAACAGGATACCTGGAGAAAGGAAGAAAAGTCAGGAGCTCCCTTAAGTCTCTCATCCATAATGGAAAACTGTGTTGACAGCATCTGATATGAATAAATCATGGATCAAAAGGTTTAAAACACCTTCAAGAACATATGATTGCATGTGTCAAAGCATGTGTGTCCTTAACAGAAATGCTACAAACACATACCACATGGTATGTTTCTCCAGTGAGCTGTATATTCGGCTGAGTAGACACATAAGTACATTTAAACATACGCATTAAATATATGAGCTGCTGAGGTGGCCCGCTAGGAAAAAGTGCATGCCACCAAGACAGATGACCTATGTTCCCTCCCAGAATTCCACAGGTGGAAGGAGAGAATAAGCTCCTGAAAATTGTTCACTGACTTCACATAGGGCATATTTCCACTAAAATAAAAGAGATATATGCAAAATTTTTAAATAAATGTTAAATATATTGTGTTACATATGTTAAACATATAGAAATATATCTATGTCCAAATCATCACCCAAAAAGTATTAACATTCATTCTAAAAATATGTTTTAGCATTGTTTTAAAGGTTCTGGAATAGATTCAAGAAAGGACTTACAAAACAGCAAGGCTATGCCCAACAGTATAGCAAGAATAGCCCATGGTCCAAGTCTCACGTCGGCATAGCCGGTCCTTTCTCCTGAGCGGGCTGTGCAGTCACTTTCAGTGATGCAGTCACAAATGAGGACATTCAGTGAAGTGACTGAGGACAGACCGAGTCTGTCCGTGACTCGGATAGGAACTACGTAGGATCCGAATGAAGGGTCATTCTGATAAGACAGACGAGCCGCTGTATCTGAATAAACAATAAAACCAGGTGATACAAAAGCCACCAACATCTCTTCAGCAAAATCATTCAGTTATCAAACAGATAGCCATTTCCCTGAAAATGGACACTCGTGGGTTATCATAAATACTGCAATCCTGGCTGTGGCTGGACTGACTGCCTCTGGTCCACAGCCACCGCAAACGCACTGTGGTTAGTTAGTCTAATGCTGCCTGCAATGGTTAGCTTGCACTGCCTGACAGGATTTTAAAGTCCCCTAGGTGACGCTCCTGAGGGCATTTCCAGAGAGGTTGAAGTGATGAATGCAGGTGGCACTATCCTGTGGGCTGAGCTCCTGGACGAGAGAGAAAGAGAGAGAAAAGAGTGGAACATGAGCTTTCCTCGCTCACTGATTCCTGACAGTGGACGGAATGTGAGCAGCTGGATCACGCATCTGCCGCCTGCTATTTTGTCTCAGCACTGAGGAAAGAAATTAGTACACTGCCTATGGCAGTGCTTGGCTCTTGGAATAAAGTATTTTATCCATTCATAAACAAATCCTTCCTATCATAACTAATAGATGTGGTAAGAGGTTAGTTTCTGTCCTATCATTAACATATTCAATTAAACCTGTCATATTAGATTTCCATTCATGGGGGACTTGGAGGGCTGAAAATTTGGTATCTCTCATTTGTTTTCATAAATTCTGCCAAGTGGACATGAATACTTGTGGTTTATCAGCAAGAACGTGTTCTGACAGCTCGGAGGAAATGTACTCCATGAGCAGGTCATGCGCACACCACAGGAACACAAGCACACTATGCTTATGGGTCACTGGGACCAAGTGAATGTTTTTGTTGCGGTTTGATTACATGGATTTTTTTTTAGATTAAAAGTAGGAAATATTCAGATCAAAAATCCAGATCCCAGGCTCAGAGCACAATTTGTAAAACGATTCTCACTGCACTCACTGCAGACTAACACAAGCAACAGGGCAATCACTCCATTACTTAATTCCCTGATGTGGCCTGCTCACTATCAGTATAGTGTTTGAAGTTTCCAATGGGAATTAGGCTACCTATGATAAGAAACCACAGAACTGGGATTTTAATAGAAACCACAGTTATCTATTCAGTGTATTATCTAAGACATAATCATGAGCCAACACACAGAACTAGGAGTGAGTCATGTCTATTTCTTTCATTGTCTTGTTGACTTCTAGACATAATCCAATTTTACACAAGAATGAACTGATTCTCCCAGAGAGTAAATACCATGGTCAGATTTATGTAACAGTTGGTGGATCTGGCACTTGACATGAAACCATGGAACGCAAAGACCTCTGCTGGGTACATTCTTCTTGTCCTGGCACCGCCCAAGTTTTCATATGTTATCAAGGACTGGTATTTATAAAATAACAAAGTTCTGGAGCTGGGTTACAGCTTAGTAGGAGACTTCATGCCCAGCATGGGTTCACTTCCTGTGCCACACAGACAAGACGGCACAAGGCTTCTGACTAGAGCATTGCTTGGTTGAGGAGAAACATCTAAAAGCCCACATTTTCTCTTAATATCATTTAAACTAAAGCACTCTGACTTCAAACAAATAGGAAGGATAAAATCCAAGAATAAAGTTATCTTTTTTCTTAAGAAAGAATAAATAAAAATCTCTCTCCTCTTCTCTAAGACACACAGGAAAATATTGTTTTAACATGTATATCTTATCAGTCTGTAGATTATTAGGGTTCAAGACAGGTTGTATTGACTTGCTTGGCTACACCCTTGCTTTTCTTTCCCCATCTGAGGCTCTGCTTGTATTGAACTTTTTCTTAACCTTTTAATTTGTCATAGCAGGAAACTGAGGCATAGCCATTGAGAGCTGAGGTTGAAAATATTTTGGAGTTTTCAAGTTTCAAATCACCCAAAAGGTGACTGAGGTCCTTGAGTTAAGAAAACTATGAGGCCATGACGTCACAATCCATGGCAGCGTGACAGGAGGCAAGAATTAAGTTCTGGTACAGGTGTGATGCAATGTGGCAGTGGGGAAAAACCACTTTAACTTCAGCCGTTCTTGTACCACAGGACCCTTCTGGGCTATCATCAACTGCAAACCAAAATGAGAAAGATTCCCAAGAAGAACTAGAAACAAAACAATGAAATGTCAGCACAGCGACAGACAGAAGCAGAGGGGTGGTGGACATTGTCAGGGACACACACCCCTGCAAGAAGGGGCTCACTTCCCAGCTGCTTGACAGCAGTTACAAAACACTCATGCAAGCCGGGCGGTGGTGGCGCATGCCTTTAATCCCAGCACTCGGGAGGCAGAGGCAGGTGGATCTCTGTGAGTTCGAGGACAGCCTGGTCTACAAGAGCTAGTTCCAGGACAGGAACCAAAAGCTACGGAGAAACCCTGTCTCGAAAAATCAAAAAAAAAAAAAAAAAAAAAAAAAAAACACTCATGCAGGTGGGTTCTTGGATGTTGATGAAAATCTCCAGACAACCTAAGAGAATCCTGATATCAACAGCAAACACTGGAGAGGCTCATGGCCTATTACACCAAAATTCAGATCTTTATCCTGAGTGGTTCTCATATAATGAAATTTTCTCTTATTTTCAAAGAGAGAGAGAGAGAGAGAGAGAGAGGAGAGCAGCCTGCTGTAGAAAGGAAAGGCAGTGTTTGAAATCACACACCGTTAATCCTTGTCAATCTCCACATCCTCCGTACTTCTGAATCGGTACTCTCCAAACTAAAATCAAATGGTGGGCCGTTGACTGGCTCATCAGGATCAACTGCAACAATTTCAGCGGAGGACATGGTGGCCTTACAAATTACCACCGTCTGCTTGGGGATGAAGGGGCCATTGTCATTCACATCTTCAAGAACAATTCCCAGAGTTCCAGTACAGCTTCTCCCAGCTAGACACAGAGCAATAAGAACACATTTTTTAGTGCCTTTATTTTTTGCTGGAAAATCACACTCTGAAAATTAATATCTATATTAATTAATTACAGTGCATAAGTTACCACATCAAATGCAGACATGAGCAGTGACACAGGGAACACCAAAGGAAAAACTTCATCCACTCACTATGTCATTACATTAGGCATGGAAAATTCTAGACAGAGAAGTTTTATCTGATGTTGAAGAGACAAAAAGAGAGAACAGTAGGGTACACAGTACACTTCAAATTCAGGGTGTGGACAGCATGTCACACCCACCTGTGAGGGGAAGAAAATAGAGAAAGTGGGCAGGTGGGAGCTGACATGGACAAGAGATAAAGACCTTTGAAAGCTAGAGTAGAGAACTTGGAGTTTAGCATACATGAAGAGAATGCTTAAGGGTTTAAAACAGGGAAGTTGAATAGTAGATGGGATGTATTTGGAAGATTTTAACAGAAAATGGTTCATGGACATGTTTGAAGGGTGGAGGGGTATTTCCAAAAGTAGAAATGATGGCTACAGGTGTAACCTCATGAAGGTCATCTAAGTAAACGGAACTTAGGACTGAGGGTGTAACTTCTGTAATTAGCCTGTCATACATACATAAATCTTCCTGACAACTCTATACAAGGTACAGCATTGGGAAAACAAAGATGAAGCAGACGAAGGTCCGGAAGGTTATGAAGTCTAAAGCAAAACATGAAACTAGGATTCCTGTCTGGAAATCATTTGCTGTCTACTTAATAAGGAGGATTTGGACACTAGAGATGGAGAAAAAGGAAAAACAAAAACTGCACCACTCAGTGCCTGTGGCCACATCTTACATGCAGCTGTCAATCTACGACAATGGAAACCAAGCTTGCCTGGCAACCAGAACCTTAACCAAGGGCCCTCTGGCACAGTGGCTGGATCATGGTAGTTCTAGAGCCATCACAGGCTCACAGGCTAGGCATGCCATGCCTCCAGGTACTAAAATCATATATACTATTTAATTCTGCAAGTTAGAGCATAATGAGTTATGCTTATTTAATTGCATGTTCATTTTACAAATGTAAAAAATTCAATTATACCTTTTGGTTTTCAAGGATTTTTTTTCTTGTTTCTATTTCTTTCCTTTTTTTTTTTTTTTTTTTTTTTTTTTGAAACAGTGTCTTGGGTATCTCAGGATAGCCTTAAACTTATTATGTAATTGAGGCTGGCCTTGAATTGATCCTGTTGCTTCCAATACCCAAATACTGGAATTTTCAGTATGTACCATGCCCAAACAAAGATATACCAAAATTATATTTTATATACTGTATGGGTTTTATATACATAATCACTGTACCCAAATTTTTAATGGTTTTTCAGGATGCACAATATATAACATATTTTATGTTCTTCTATGGTATAGGCTTAGTTTTAATTGTCAGCTTGTCATGGTGCAGATAATTCAGAGTGGCCTGTGGGCATGTCTGGGAGGTTGCCTTGACTACCTTAATTGAGCTGAGAAGACCCAGCTATCCAGTCGTGGCAAAGCCTGGCCCATACAGGAGTGGAGAAAGCTAGCTGAGCCCTAAGCATCTGTGCTCTCATTCTCTCTGCTCTTGACTGTGGACACAACTATCTGCTTCAAGTTCCCGCCTTCAGTTCCCTGAAATGATGAACTATAACCTGGAATCATGAGGTAAACCCTTTCTCCTCCAAGTTGCTTTTTATCTGGTAATTTCATCATAGCAACAGAAACAAGGGTAGTATAAGTGAACGCATACTTTGATCCTCTCATTTTATAACACACTATGAATTGTGAGTGGTTTAATTTTGTATAATGTGCTTAGTTGGGATTCTAGCCCCCAAGTTTGCTGTTAGCTTCCTGTAAAATGTTATCTAGAAATGTACTAAGAGACTAAATACCTTCTTCCTTTTATGACTCTCCTGAACGTTGCAAGATAAATGAATACATTTTCTATAGTAGTTTTCCCATGTTTTGATGACTATCATTAATATACAATAACTTTGTTTCTTAGACAAAATTAACTTTTCTTTTAATTTTTATTGCATTTGTTTAATGAATGACAGTGGAGATCAAAAATACAGCGTTTAGAAGTCCATTATTTCCTTTCACCTGAAGACCAAACTGAGGTCATTAGGCTTGGTAGTAAGGACCTTAACCAGCAGAGCCCTCTCCCTGGCCTCATTCTAGGCCACATTATCTTATAACTGCATCTAATACTAAAGATACCATTAGCTGACAAGAGTTAATAAATGACAGCAAACTTAATTTATTAATTACTCTGTATGTTACACTGGGGATAAATAAACGGAGAATATATGGAGCCAGTTAAAAAAAATGTATGTTTGGTAGGCAGGGCATGACAAACACCTTCCATCGCAGCTCTGTGAGTTCAAAGCCAATATGGTCTTCATAGAGAGGTCCAGGCTTGTCAAGGCTACACAGTGAGACCCTGTCTCAAAAATGAAGTGTGCTCTTGGGCTAAGGTAGTCAAGGGTTTTGCCTAGCAACTGGAAGACCCAGGTCTGATCCTTTGCACCATGAGATTAAAACATAAAATATGTCATTGACTTTAAACTGAGGAAGTATACAATCAAAGATGCATCAGTAGTCTTAAAAACAGATTTCTTACCTGCATCTAATGCAAGAACTGTAATATTATAGATGCCATTTCGGACAGTCTCAGCCTCTCTATCCAAGGTTCGGGAAATGGAGATCGATCCTGAGTCTTCATTAATCATGACCCACCCTCTTGGGTCACTTAACTTCCTGTACCTATTCACCATGGTGAAGTAACACAGCAAGAAGTATCATGAGTCAAATCATAATGCCAATAACAAAAGAAGTTATGGACTTTTCTAGTATTGTAAGTGTGAAAGGAACAAGAGTAAGACCATACCTGATGCCACTGCTGCTTCTGGTCTCAGGGTCGTACGCTGTATACCCATTATTTCTGGTTCCAACTGGCACATTTTCTCGAATCCGCACAGTTTGGACTGGAGGGATACACTCAGGGCCCTCATCCACATTTTTCACGGTGACAGTCACTGTAGCTGTGCTCATGGGTGACCTTGCAGTAGCCTCTCTAGTGTATGGGGCTTCATTAACGACACCAATTTGTAGGGTCACCTGTTCTCGTTCTTCATAGTTCAGAGGCTGTAGGAAATGCATTGAAAATCAGATTAAACCCTGGAAGAGCTGGTGAAGTTCCTTACGCGCAGGAGTTGCTGAGTTGAAAATAGGTAAGTACCAGGCTGGAATAATCATGAGAATATTAAACAGAAGCTTGAACCATTTGCATGGCGGCTGGGGGGGGGGGGGGGAGTCTTTCAAACAAGCGAGAATTTGGGTAGGACTGGCAACAAACAAAAATTATTTAACTTTCCCTTGAAACTTGAAAAAGTTGAAAATTGAAAGTTTAAAGTACAAGGTATCAGAGATCTGGATACGACGCTTAACCAAGTTCCAATTTTGGGTGTGGACTGTAAGTTATTTTACACTGGTTACTAAAGCTTGTCTCCGAGTCTTCAGAAGGACAGTTATTTATACTAGATTTGGGAGTGAAAAACTGGGTCAAATTTTAAAGAAGTTTTTCGGTTTTCGTTTCAGTTTTGTTTTGTCTCCTGTATCCAAGATTGGCCTTGAAATCACTTGTGGGGCTAAGAATGAAAATAACTTCTCATCCTCCTGCCTCCACCTCCCAAATGCTGGGTTTATAGGTATGTGGCGCCATGCCCACTTTATGTTGGTCTAGGATTTGAATCCAAACCTTGGGTATGCTAGACCATCACACTACTACAGCCCCAGCCCTATAAAGTGTTTAGGAGTGTTGTGGGGATCTGACAGCCAGCCCTAAGCTGGTGGGACTGTGTTATTGCCTGCTCAGAAATAAACTGTTGTATCCCTGCCCTTAGTGATACTTGCCCCAGAATGCTCAGACCTGTGTAATAATTTGCACATAACTCCCCTGTGAGGACTAAAGAAAACTGATATGGTGCCATATTAAAATGGGATAAGAATTAGATAATGGTGCTCCAGCTGCGAGATATGAACTGCTTTCCTTTGGCTTCTGTAAACTTGCTTATCACTGCAGGACTGGGATGAAGGGGTCCTTTCATTACTATACAGTGGGAAAGAGAAACAACTGAGGGCGGTGAAACAATCCTCTTGCCCAGCTGTGGATTCCATAGATAATTATAATGTACACCTTTAGTATCCACCTATAAGCCCTCCCTTTGGGCCTTCAGCACGGCATGCTGTTTGACTCCAAGGTTGCTGCCCTGCTATCAGTAAGAATAAATTCATTTAACCTCAATCTAAATTGAGTCTACGTCTTTGGTCTTTTCCAACAGAGTTGAACACCACAACAGTGGAGAAACAAGAGTATAGAAAGCTTAGAGACATTATTTGTTCCTTTTTGAAATCTCTTCCTCCAAAGTCAAGAGCAAGTATCCTTTAATCTGCCTGGTTGCTGAGGTAACAGGAGCAGTTGACAGAAATGACCCAGAGATAAAGTCTGGTATTGGGATTGGACATCAGTGGGGTCAAAGAAGGCATGGGATTTAAAGGGCTTTCTTTGTTGTTTTGAAACAGAAACTAACCCAGAAACTGAAGCTAATTTGTATCATTGCGAGGAAAACGGATTTATCCTCTTTGATCCACAGTCCTGGAGAACGTGTACAAAAGGAAAACACTCTAAACAAGTGGTTCTCAACCCTCCCCAAGCTGTAACCCTTGAATACAGTTCCTCATGTTGTGGTGACCCCAATCATAGAACCATTTCATTGTTACTTCATAACTGTAGTTTTGCTACTGTTATGAATTGTAATATAAATACCTGATATGCAGGATATCTGCTATGCGACCACCGTGAAAGGGTTGTTTGACCCACAAGTCGAGAACCACTGCTCCAGACCAGGATGGAGTTATGTTCTACTTAATGCTGCCATATAAGCATCTAAGGTCGAAACATCTTGGGTTGCTTCACTGACTCTTATGTGCAAAATAATATCCGAAAGATGTTTTGGAAGTGGGTATGTCACAGACTGCGTGAGTTGCATGCTAAGACCCTGCATGATAAGACTGTACTATGTACAAGATACAGAGCAATAGACCCAGTGATAGTCTCCCTGTGGGTCTGACCAGCTCTGACTCATTTAAGAAACTCAATACATACTTACTCCTTGCCCTGAAAACAGAAAGAATAGTCTGTAAAAGACTGGCTCTGTCCATTACTGTGAACGCTATGCTAAGTTTTAAAGTGTTAAAATATATGTAAGAAAATGCATACTATGCCACATGAATAAAACACAAATAAACACATTTTAAAATTATGTCTTTGTCAAGGCTCTGTTGGTTGGTTTCTCCAACTTCCTACAAGTTAGAGTTATCTGGGAAGAAAAAAACCTCAGCTGAGAAAATGCTTCCATCACTCTAGCCTGTAGGAAAACCAATGAGGCATATTCTTGATTAACGATTGATGTGGGAGGGCCCAGCGCACTGTAGGTGGGGCCACCAGAGAAGGTGTTCTTGAAGTATCTAAGAAGACAAACTAGGCAAACAGAAAGAGGAAATCAATAAGCAGCGTCCCTCCGCGGTCTCTGCTCCAGCTCCTGCCTCCAAGGTCCTGCCTTGAGTTCCTGCCCTGACTTCCTTTGGTGACGGGCTATAAAACATGGAAGTGGAAGCCTGGAGAAAAAGCAGCCTCCCTCCCCGGCTGACTTTTGTTCATGATGTTTATCACAGCTATAGAAAGCGAACTAACAGCTACTCACAGTGAACATGCTCACTTCATTTAATCTATATGAATAAAATAGTATAATTAGCTATATTATGTATTTCATGTTTCCATTAACCAAAATATCTTTCTGCCCATTAAATCTTTGCCTGCGATTCTCTATTATAAATCACAAATATCTAATTTACTAATTAATCCTTACCTTAACCACACACAGAATGCCTTCATTGGTTTTGGGATCTGTTTCAATTTTGAAGTTTCCATTTTCATTGCCCTTTAAGATGTTGTAATTAGCTCTCCAGTTAGGAGAGTTAACTAAATCTTTATCCTGGATAGGAAGTCGTAAGATTTCCACATCAATTGTATTTTCTTCCACTGATGTCTCATACTAAAAGAAAAAAAAAAGAGAAAAGCTTCATCAATTAATCATCACAAAACAAGATCACCACGGGAAATAAGCTCATTCTTACAAATCCCAGAGCACATGTTCTCATGTTTAAAACTAACCCCAAGCTACTTTCACGTCATTGTGAGCATTTCCTGCCAAACAATGGGACACAAAGAGATGTGCACACCTTCAAGCTGCCAGACATGCATTTCTCTCTAACAAACAGCACACACTCACCACAGTGCGAGTGAAGGTTGGAGGGTTGTCATTCACATCTCCGACAGTGATGATGCAGGTGGCTGTTGCCTGCAAGCCAAAATACTGGCCATCCATGTCCTGCACTTTGATTTTCAACTGGTATTTGTCAATTAACTGAAAACAAAGAAAGTGTAACTGTTAGGCAAACGCGGCATCTTTATAAGTAGAACCTTGGCTCTGCTGCTCTTCTTTAGGGGAACGTTGTGATGTTTAACAGCATTTACATGCCAGAGGAGGTGCCTTGCTCTAGTACTATGCAATCAATACATGAAAACTAGTCACTTCTCAAGTGGAAAGTGCTATCAATTCAAGGAACTATAATTAGTAAACTTTACCAACTTCCAAAAGGGAAATAAGTGTCATGAGTGCATTCAATATTCCGTAGCAATGCAGAAAAGGTTCTATGTCCCTCCAAAGTACATTTTTACATTCAAATGAGTAATAACTAAAATGAGTGCTCTTCTCCTCTCCAGCCACCTTCATGCCATGGCTTCAGTCCCTGTTGATCTTCCCTGTCTTCACCCAGTAGCTATGCTACTCACATGCACCTCTCCAATGTCCCCTCCAGCAAACCTCTTCTTACGTCTGCAGCTCACTTCCCCTGACTGTCCTTACAAACCTAATGCTGCTGTCTGCCAGGAGGCGAGCATGTTTCCTTTGCATCAAGACGCATTGAGATTTATCAGAAACAGTCAGTTGATGAGAAAGGAAAACAAACCAGGCTTTTACTCTCCTACAAGGCTGATTAGTGTTGTGTGCAGATGAAAGAGAAACTGCAACATTTAAGAAGGCTGAACAAGTGAAAACTAGAAAACCGAGATCAACAAATTACAGGCAAGTACTATCCAGTAAACTCCTTTCTATGTTCAATGTTTATAACCGTTTCTGCCAGGAACATTCATTTACTTTCTGAGATTTGTTTTCATTATATGTCACCATGTATATGTGTGTGTTTGGGGAGAGGGGTGACCAGAGATTTCTAAAGAGAGTATTAATCCCTTGGGGCTGGTGGTACAGTTGATATGGGCTAAGGTTCCCGGCAAGACACACACGAGAATGTACTCTTAATTGCCCAGCCTTCTCCTCAACCCCGTAAGTGTTTACTTAAAGGTTTGGTTTGGAAGTTTAACAAGCCATTATGATTTTTTTTTTTTACTGCCGTTTGGTTGCTTGCTGTTTCTATTGCAAAGGGCAGTAATTACACACGAAAGGAACCTGAAGCTGTCCAGAGAATATTTAGAAAACATTTTGTTAAATCACTTCAATAAAAACAACCATTTGTTGGCAAAGATAACTTTGGATGAACTGTTTCAACCATTAAGGTATGAAGGGAAGTGTACACATGATAGCTTGATATTGTTTAATCATTTGTCAAGATCTGGAAATTTGCACTAAGTCAGAAAATATATATCTTAATAGAAAGAGTCATTTTTTTAAAGATTTTTATTTTATTTATATTAGTTTTATGCATGTGCCTGAGTGCATGTATGTACATGTCACAGAGGTCATGCAGTCAGAAGAAGGTGTCAGATGCCCTGGAACTAAAGTTACAAGCAATTATGAGCTACCCAGTGTGGTGCTGGGAACTGAACCCAGGTCCCAGAAGAAAGTGCAGAAAGATCGAACTGATGAGCCAGCTCTCCAGCCCCTGTTGGAAGTTTTGAGATTCAAAGTAACACCCAATAGTCATGTACTTCTACAAGATTAAAGATCATAGATGATAAATAAGCACACCAAAATGCTGTAAGGATCTAGGTGTCTAGTACTTGCTGGGGGATGCAATAGTTTATTGGCACTAAGTAATTGGCTTAGGGTATTCACAAGTACAGAGCATCCATGCAAAATATTCTCATAGAGAATGTTAACATGCTTAGGACAGTTTAAACTAGAATGTAAGGACGACATCTAACACAGTCTGAGAGCATGACTCCATGGTGATTCTAGAAAAATCATCAATAGGGGAACTTACTAAAGCCCTTTTACCAAGAAAATATGGAAAGAGAGTTTGCTGCCAAGTCACATCTTATATATACTGCATCTAAGATGGATTTCAGATGTCCAGACAGGTAAGAATCTGAGCAGTTAGTTGAGATGAAAGCCAGAGGCTACACGTGTGTAGATAGTTTTACCTATGCAAGGGGGAAGGACATAAAGAAGAGTGCTGAAGAGACCCGTGTTAATATAATTCTTTCTCCGTAGACAACACATTTCTGCCCATCTTGAGAAGGTCTGCTCTTTTTTTTTTGAAACTTCCTCATTTAATACTACGAATACACTATTATGAAAAATTTGATTTCATAAAAGATAAAAGTCAGGAGAGAATAAGCTCAGTGTTCTAAATTAGCATGTCATTAAGTAACCACTGAATGACCTTCTTCTGCATAATAAAAACGATACATTTCCTAAAGTTGGGAACTGATCATACTTCAGAAACACACAGACGGGTAATGCTCTGAGATAGACAGGCATAAGCATCCCTCATCTAAAGGGTCTGGGGACCAGAAGTGTTTCAGATGTTTATAGATTTTAGAACACTTGAATCCACATAGGATATCTCGGTGTCAGACCCACAAATAGACACGAAATTGTTGTGTTTTCTAATCATGCCTGACAAGCAAAGCTCAAAGGGGATTTTACGCCATATTTTTAGCATGCCTGTGTCCTAGCTGAAATCTGTCCATGAGAGGTTGGTTGCTGAACTGTCTATCTGTGACATCAAATCATTGCTCAAAACAGTTCATGTGTTGGGGTATTTCCACTGTGAGATATTTCTGACTAGAGATAATATATGTGTGCTCTTAAATCCCCAGATTTACCCGCTAACCCTTGTCACCACCCTGCCCAACTGAGACAGTGCACTCGGAAGAGCCACACAAATGCAGCTGTTCTAATCCAGCTGTCCCAACTGGCACTTGTTACCTCTCTGTCCAGCTGAGACGATGTGGTCGTGATCACACCCGTAGTGGGATGCATGGTAAACAAAGTGGGCGGTGATGGCGACTGCTCCAGGATGGAGTACTTCAGCCTAGTGTGCATCGTATCAGGCTCGTCGCTGTCAGTCGCAAGGACCTCTCCCACGACAGAGCCTGCGGAGGAAAAGCTGCCATTGACTTTCCAAATCCTTAAGTGCTCCGTGTCTCTTATTTCGCTCTTTTCTGCCTAGCTCAGAACCCTTCCGAAGTACCTTATTACAGACCAGGATCACCGCTTTTAGAAGTTAATTGCTATCTACATACAATAACACTTCCTTGTAAATACATTTACGTTCTATTTTTGGAAATGATGATCCCAGGACTTATTTTCACTGTATTTTGGTGGGGGCTCCTATAAATGACTACACTGTCCCTCTGTGAATTCTGAATTTCTACTGATATTTTCTAATTATTCTTAATCTCTTTTGCCATTTGCAGGCCTGCTCTTGAATTAGCCAGTTCTCTCTAAAAATCAGTTCAGTCAAGTCTTTCTAGGGTAAGACCCAAAACTTCAGCCTAACATCGCACCAATGCAGTCCTGAGGATAAGAGTGGGAAATTCTGTGTGTTGTTTTCAGTGACTCTTGATCATGCCCAGAATCCTATTTACTCATTAGGAGTTCAGTAGACAGGTGTCCAGGTGCTGCATGATGTCATTTATAGACTCCTTAGAAACATTTCAGTGCCCACTCAAGTCATTTATTTCTTGAGGCAACGGGATACACGTAGTCGGTTTGATAATCTAGTCTACAGACAACCCATTTACTGGATGAGAAACTAAGAAATTGAAGCTTTCCAAATGAAGAAATTAGTGAAGGAGAAGAAACCTTCTCCCAGGACCCATCTTCTTGCCACCAGTGTGAAGGGCTTTCCTGTGGCCACAGAGACTCTCAGTTTATAAACCAAAGTCCATCCAAGCTGCCCTGGATCCTTGGTGTAGGAACTCACCAACTGCACTGTTTTCCAGAACTGTGAAACTGTATGTTGTCTTTGTAAAAATCGGGTGGTTGTCATTCTCATCCTCGATCTTAATGATGAGGGTCAGCGGGTACTCAGGCGTATACCCATCTGGAGTTGTTGCAAACGCCGTCAGCTGTGATCAGAGGAAAATCGGGAAAAAGTCAAGTTGTTGTGGAATAATCTTTTGGTTCACTATGAAGATGTGTCTTTGCCAAGATGCCTTCTGATTGGTTTAATAAAGAGTAGAATAGTCAATAGCGAGACAGGAAAAGGTTATGTAGGGCTTCGGGGGACAGAGACGTCTCAGAGAAGAAGCAAAGGGAGCCATCAACATGACACAGAGGAAACAGGACATGCAGGAGGAGAGGCAAAAGCCATGAGTCACATCACTGCATGTAGACTGATAGAAATGGATTAAGTTATAAGTTAGTTAGAAACAAGCTTAAACTAAGACCAAGCTTTCATAATTAATAATAAGTCTCTGTCCTTGGCTTCTTATCAGCCCTCATTGTTTGCCATGTTCAGAGAGTCCAGTTTTATCCCATGCTTTTTCAGTCACAGTCCAGCTGGCCTTGGTGAGCTCCCAATAGATCAGCTTCACTGTCTCAGTGGGTGGGTGCTCCCCTCGTGGTCCAGACTTCTTTGCTCATGTTCTCCCTCCTTCTGCTCCTCATTGGGACCTTGAGAGCTCAGTCCAGTGCTCCAGTCAAGGACAATGGCACGGGGTTTTGATCCTACGTAATGTGCTGGCTTTGTGGGAGCCTAGCCAGTTTGGATGTTCACCTTCCTAGATATGGACGGAGGGGGGAGGACCTAGGACTTACCACAGGGCAGGGAACCCTGACTGCTCTTTGGACTGGAGAGGGAGGGGAAGAGGAGTGGGGGGAGGGGGAGAAGGGTGGGAGGAAGGAGAGAAGGGTGGGAGGAGGGGGAGGAAAATGGGAGGCTGGGAGGAGGTGGAAACTTGGTTTTTTTTCTCCTTTTCTCAATAAAAAAAAAGTTAAATAATAATAATAATAATAAGTCTCCATGTCATTTTTTTGTGGAGCTTGTAACCCAAAGAAAATCATCTGTGAATCGTCTACAGAAAATAACCATGTTTTGTTTTGTGTGGAGCTGGGGATAGATTTCAGGGCCTCACACAGGTCAAGCATGCTTTCCCTAGTGAGTTACACCCTCAACAACCCCTCAAATGAGGCTTTCATCTGGAGACTTCTGAGGCTTGGAGCACTTGCCTTCCACTGTTATTACTTCAGGATGCAGCCATGACAGTGAGGTGGAAAGAGACCCGGATTTCCTGTGTTAGTAGAATATGTTTATATTGATCTACTCTACTAATGTGCTTAGTTTGCATTCCTCACCACTACTGTACGTCATCCATAAGTATAATATTTGTTATTATTTACCAAAAAATATTGATTTCTTTTTCTGTCTGACCATTTCAGACACATAGACTTTAAGTACAACTTTTAGATATTTCTTAATTTACACTACAAAGTTTGGACACAATTAACTGAGATAGTATTTTAATTTCTGTTAGTATTTTAGGTACCACCATAGTTATATGTACAAATAATATTTTACCCAAATGTTTTTATTGGAAAAGCAGGAATTAGGAAGAGAACACATGTGTGGCTACAGATACTGTATGAAGGTACTAGCAGGCCTGAGCACGGCAAACACAGGTCCAAACATGGCAAACACAGTGCCAACATGTCTTGCTCTCTTCCTACTTTCTCTCTTCTTTGCTAAAAGCTATTAGGCTACATTCTTAAAGCTAGCCGTCAAAGTCCATTTCCTTATTTGATCACTGACTCATTCCTGAGACAGAACAGTCAGAATTTATTATCTGGCTAACCTGTCCAATCAGGATTTACCAATCACCATAGCACAGACTCCCCCTTCTTCGTAACACCTACTCTTGCAAAAACCACCTGCTTGCTGTTTGCTGCTGCTGCTTGGCTATCTGCCTCTGCCCAATCCAGAGTCCACCACCGCCTCCCATGATTGGCCCTCAGGAGTAATAAATCTCTTTTGTGCTGAGAATATGGGGTCTGGGTATGTCCTGGGTGGACTCAGGGGCACCACCCTCCCATACAATCTATTCCTTATAATTTTATAATCTATATTCCAGATCTAACCATTAAATAACAACTGTCGTAGACACAGCAGAACATTATGAAAGCCACACAGTAGCAATCCCCAACTTAAACACAAAACTCATAGTTTGTGTGTCTATACAGTTAGTTTGCTTTCCTCGTGAATAAAGAATGACTCATCAAAAATTGTATAAAATAACGAAAAATCAGATAAGTAAGATGAGCAGGTCCTGCTTGGAAATCAAGCCAGCATGAGGTCAGGTTTTTAGAGGAAAACACAGATTCCTGTTGAAATACATTGCTCGCTGGTTAGAGGTAGCAGTCTGCCACAGCCTGGCCGCTTTCTCTAAGCTCAGCAATATGGAAACTCCCTCCCTCCCTCCACAGAAAGGTTTCCGGCTCTCTACCTGCCCTTATCTGGAATGTCCCTAGGTCTGGAGGACTGACTTTTTCTAAAAGCTGTCTCTAAACCAGCTGCTTATCTCTAAACTAGATGGTAGCTCATCTTTATTCTGACCCTTGGCACAGATTCCTGCTCAAGGCTTCTGTTAGGGAGCTCTGCTATAGGACCCTACTGCCACACACTAAGCCTTATAATAGGAGCTTGCCACTTAATGCAAATTAGGGCTTGTCTCCAGGTTCCCCAGTCCTATACATTCCTTATACTCTGGAACAAAGTTGAGCTGATTAACCAAAATCTGTCTCCCAGAGGGCTATCTCCCTTCATGCTCATGGGCCACATACAAAGGTTTGTTGTCCCTTCTGCCCCTTTTCCCTCTGGACCTGGTGGCCAACAGGCCCAGAAGAAAGAGGACCCCACAGGGGAAATCCATGAAGCACCTGAAAGACTGACTGAGCTTTATTAGGGGCTGCCCAGCCCTCCTGGTCTCCCTGTAATCATCTCTCCCACTGCAAAGCACTGAGGTTAAGCCAGCTGCTGAGATTCCTCAGCTCCTGCATCATCCCCACTCCACAAAGAGCTTCTCTAACAGACAAATGAGCAGACAAAGTTTGCTCCATTGGAAAATAGGAAAAACAGGGGGAAAAAAAATCATAAAACCAGGAATAACCTAACAGAACTGAATTTTATTTATTCCGTTGAATATTTGTTTGTTTTAAGTCAATTCTGTCATTGACTGTAGCCAGAACACCAGTGAAAACCTCAGGGAATATAAGAAAAGTAAATAAATTAAGAGTGAAAGACACAGTGGCCAAGGGTAATAACTGCTATGCTGGCTGGGTTTATGTCAACTTGACACAGTAGAGTCCTCTGGAAAGAGGGAAACCCTGTTTGAGAAAGTGCCTCCAGAAGATCGGGTTGTGGGCAAGCCTTTGAGCATTTTCTTAAATAATGATTGACGGTGGGGGACCCAGCCCATTGTAGGTGGAGCAATCTTGGTGGGACAGTGTCCTGGGTTCTATAAGAAAGCAAGCTGAGCAAGCCAAGATGAGCAAGCCAGTAAGCAGCACCCCTCCATGGTCTCTGCATCATCTCCTGCCTCCAGGTTCTTGTTCTGTTTGAGCTCCTGTCCTGACTCCCTTCCATGATGGACTATCGTGTGGAAACAGACACCAAATACACCCTTTCCCTCCCAGCTTGTTTGATCACAGTGTTTCATCACAGCAGTAGAAACCCAAACTACAACAACTGCTAATATAGCACTTGATTTTTAGACCTTACCTCAAAGGACTCATACTGCTCACGATCCACGGGACCAGTGCAATACAGGTTTCCCGTATCTCTTTCCACATAAAATAAGTTTAGAGGTTCTCTATCAACTCCTGGGCCTCTGATGGAATAGTATATGGTGTAGTTTTGAGCTGTATCAGATTGGATCTAGAGAGAAGAAATTCCAAGCATGAGACATATCTTTATTTCAGCAGAATTTGCACAGGTATTTTATGCTATCACACTGCCGGTTACTAGAATAACAATAGTACCCGGTCTTATTCAGTGTTAGAAAAATGCAGCAATAGAATAAGGAATTATGACTGAAAGTTTTCAAAAAACAAGACACTTGCAAAATCCTCTAGAAGAATCTTATCTTCTAAATCAAGGACTATTGTGAGAGCTGAACGTTATACACATGAAGCAAATGCTTGAGATTTCTCTGCACTAGAAAGTGCAGCAATACGAGCGTGAACGATTATCGGCGGCCACTCTAGTTAATTCCTGAGATTAAACTGTATTTGGCAAAGCATTTTAAAAACTGGTTTCACCAGGTATGGTGGCCTATGCCTGTCATTCCAGCACAGGGAGAGTAGAGATGGGAGAACTGAAGGTAAGGTCAGCTTGATGTCTAAGTGGATAAGACAAACTCCAAAGACAAACATCACATTTGTCCTCGTTTATAAATCTAGACTGTATATATTTCTGTGTATGTATATGTGTGTATATATATATAAATGCATATGTATTTGTGTGTGTGAGAGAGAGAGTGTGCACGCACACACGTGCCTTTATCCTAACTCAATTTTAATCTTTATTGAAGCATACATTTTTAGACTTTATAGATTGTGCCCCACCTGTGTGATACCCTGTTGACTGGTAATAAATTAAAGAAACATGTTTTAGAGTGCTTGATGGTGAGCTTTACAGTTCTTACAGATTGCTTTGTCATGACTAAAGCTGAAAACTGTGTACATGACTGACTGTTAAGAATTACTTACACATATATCTTGAAACATGATACTTAAACTTTCCATTCAGATGGTCACATGCAACTATTTTACATCTTTTTAATTAGTAAGGATTCAACCAAGGTCCTGAGCATGACAGGCAAGCATTCTGGGATACATTCCCAGCCCTCACAGAATTAATTTTAAATAGCCATTAATTATTTTTTTAAAATGGAAATGACGAATCTTAGCAGCCAAAGTGAACTATACCTGTTGAAGGAAAAGTGGAAAGGGACCCAAGGAATTCTCCATCATGGAACAGGGGATAGGAGCCCATCTTCTCTTGGAACGACTGAGAACTTTCTCTGCATGCAGTCTTTTATTTAGTGCCTTGATTTAGAAAACAAGAAAGATAAACCTTAGTTGTAAAAGTCCATGACGACTTCATATCCAGACATTAGAGCTGAAGTGATATAGTTGTCTCTTCTCATGAAGGTTGGGTAGAAAGGTGTAAACTCATAGTAGTGCTTCAAAAATCAACAAATCTGCAATACTCAGGAAATAATAAGAACAAAGGCAAAGACTGTTGTTGTTTCTGCTGTTACGCCAGCCATCCTCTTAAAAAAATACCTTGGTGGAAATACAGAAGGCAGAGAGATGGGCTAGAAGAAGAGATGCCACACTGGAAAGCAAATTCTTGCTGCCACATTGCCATGCAAGAATGCAAGAGGAAGAGATGCAATGAGAATGACAGGGATGGCTTCACTCCCATATGTAGCATAAGCAGAGTCCACTCACCAGCAACTAGCCAGAGCCAGGAGACCAACAGACATCTGTCAGAACGAAGAAATAAATATGGTGACGGAGCAGAGACAGTTTCAGTGAATAAGGCCCAGGGACTGAGGAGAGGTTGCCTTGACCTTTGGTGTCACAGTCAATAGGCAGGCACATAATGTGGTCCAAACCTTCTCCTTGTTCTCAGTCTTCTAAGACTCCAGCCATGCTAATGATACAAGACGGCAGGATGGTAACCATGAGGCAGAGCAGGAAAGCTGCAGCTGTGTCCATGAGGCTGAGCCTCCTGATAGTCAGAAGCCCTTTGAGGCTAAGCACCTTGAAGGCACAGCTTGAGTTTTGTTCTTGGTATATTAGAAACTAAGGCAAAAACCATTCTGCCCCACAGGTCCCTAGCAAAGGGTCTGCATCCTCCATATCCAGACATCATCATGTTATTGCTTACATTGTAGCTTAACCCTCCCAGAACCCCGCCACATACTCTTTGTGTGGGCTTTCCTAGAGGATCATGGAAAGAAAACTCCTAAAAATATATGTGGTCCATCATAACTTGACCAAAAATGGACCACCTTTCCCCCAGAGTATGCCACCTGTCTCATAAATATTCATAAATCTTTTTAAGATCCAAATCCCAGAATTCACTGGGCTGATGACTGCCTTGGGGCAGCCCAGTCCATTGTCTCTTTTCGGTGTTTGTTTCCTTGCCTTGGCTGTCTAAATAAACAGCTGCTTAAACTACCTATGTCGTTTGGCTGAATTCATTTCTTCAAGAAGACAAGAACAAGAGAACCTGTTAACACTAATATGCACGAGGGAAAAGAATTTAATCAAGGTGTGGTAGTTTCCAAACTTGTTTTTGGAAATTCATTCCAAAAATTGAAGTGTCATTTGTGTCCTATGTCAAGTTCCCAAATGAAAGCTGTGACAACTTGTAATGACATGTGTTGCACAAGCAACCCTCCTTCACTCAACACTGTTGAGGCTTTTGTTCTCCCCTCACCCAAACCACCCAATCTTCTCTGGTTCCACACCTTCCTTGGTGGCGTCAGTCAAGCCCAAAGAGCCCATGCCATTACATCTCCTGCATGTCATCTCATTTACCTCTACTGGGCCCTCTAAGTGGACAGACAGCTCTCTTTCTTCTTGGCTGTCCGTGTTGAAAAGCCATATCGTAAAGCTTCTTTGGCCCGAAGACAAAACAACAGAATTGGTTGTGTACACAGAACCGTCTTCAAAGACTTGAAAATCAGGATCACTCAGATGAATGAGATTTGCCGATTTCAGGCAGGCCTTCAGGTTCACTGAGGAAATACACACAGCAGTAACTGAGCAGCATAGTGTTCAACAGTATATACAGTATGCATGTGCAAGGGGAGCAAAACATGAAAAACACATTCCCACCATTATATTTAGTACTGCTACAATGCTACATGAGACGCTATGGTTAAGATCCTCCCTAAACATCCATATTGTTTCTAATGCTTGTTTTATACCTGTTTGAAGAGATATCTCTTCTGAAAAGGAGACATGAGGACTCTAGTATTTGAACATTTGATACAACACTAAAAATGGGCTTTCTTTCTTAACTAAAATTAGCTGTTAGAGACTATATACTACCTGAAATAAAGTCAGTAGTTATTAAACTGAATACTACTGAAGTCTACACCACGTGTAAACTAGTTAACCTACTGTGGGCCACATTGGGTTGATTTCATTTTTCCTTATACACCTAAGTCCTATAATGAACTGAGAGGCCAGTAAGATGTCAGGGGGTAAATCTCTTGCCCTCTGTGTGTGTTCTTGTGTATGCGCACACATGCACAGACACACTTATTTCATAAGTTACATGAGTAAGGAACTGACTGGTGCAAGGCAGTGCATGGGGCTACAGATGCAGCTCGGGGAAGGCTGTTTGCCCAGCACCATTGGCTTGGGTTTGAGGGCCAGCACACCTCAAAAGACAGTGGAAGCAAAATGAAGCAAGACATAGAACTTTTAATGATGACAATCCAAGAAGAAAATCAAGAAATAACTTCAATATTATTCTTCAAAAGCTTAGAAACATATTTAGCATATACAATATCCCCCATGTAATATAAATACCAAAAAATATGTGATGATTTGAACTTAATCTACTTACCTTCTTTGGGTAATCCTATTCTTAAATAAAAATATGATATAACATATATTAGAATTGATTGCACTGTTCGCTTTTAACTCCTGATCATGGATCTCTCGTGGTTCTAGCAGTCACAGTAACTTTTCACAAAGCATACCACACTAGGGATTATCACACATTGCAGCTGCTCTTTACCTCGGCCAACAAATTTCTCAGCAGGTAGTTCAGAGGGAACCCGAAGGATCACTTCTTGACACGCTTCAGAGGCAAGTGTAAGGATCTAGAACAAACAAATCAGTGTCATACACTCACAAAATCTTTCCAATGAATAGAGAGTTTACCTAAGTCTCCACTACATAGTAATATCCACTTAATTACATAAAAGAAACATTAAATACTTGAGTATATGTATAGTTACACAAAATTCATTTGATTTAAAGTAACAAAATAAAATAAGAAATATGTACCAGGGTAAGAAACCTGAAATACGAGAAGGAGATGGGCACAGGATAACAGGTCCCCATGGCTCCCTTCTTTTACACGGCACTTTATACTCAGGAAACCACATTCTTTCTTAGAACTGCTTTTACTTCATTTTGTAATATGAATTTACTAGCATTTTCACTGCCAGGGACAGCAGAGTGAGGATCCAGCACAACATGTGAGAGACTGCACCAAACACACATGGGAAAGAGAAAAACTAGAACCGCCATCCCATCACACTGTTTCCATGAATGTTCAGCATCCCAGGAGCTACAGAGGCAAAGCAAAAGTCTGCTGAACCAAACCTGGACGCCATTGCTGGAAGGCACTGGGACTGCTTGGGAGGGGCGGCCTATATCAGCTCACGCAAGCATGGGACCTTATTCGGAAGGCACAGCTTCTCACAGTTAGAAAACACTTGACTTCAAATATTTTAAATGATTTAGTGGTCAACCGTGAGCATTGGTCATACATTTGAAAACCCAAATTTTATTATGTTGTGAACTTTTTCGGTGGATGCCTCTGAAAGATGTGTGTTCCATTTTCTTCAGCTCATCAAATGACTGGCCAAAAGCAGGGAAACCAACCAGCACCTGTGCCGAGGATGAAGTCCTTTAGTATGAACTAAAATCAGCTAGATCAGTTGAAATTTTTCTTTTTCAGTCTATCTTAAAGCACCTGTAGTTATTTAATTTAAACCATATAGGAAGGATCTAATAAGGAAAAGATCATCTTTTAATTGTAAAATTGAAATCACTCCCTTAAAAAAGACTTTTAAATTGAAAGCAAAAGAATTTTCATAGGCTGCATAGCCAAGGGAGCAGGGGAGCAGTCAGATGTTTTAAGTATCGGGGCTCAAGGAGACTGACAAAGAATATCTCATTCACTTAGTCAACACTTATCCATTCAACCAACACTCAGGGTAAGGAGGTGCCAAGCTGAGTCACAGGCTCCAACAGCGAGCAAAGCAAAGACCTTGCCCTCAACAGACCAGGTTCCAATGCACCAACGAGCAAACAGACAAGTGCACAAATGTCACATCCCACCAAGACAGATAACAGTTATGGGAGAAATAAAGCCGAGGAAGATGATAGAGAAGGCTGGAGGATAGATAAGCTGGGGGAAAAACAGTTCCATACTTAAAGAACAGTCTGGAACATATTGCTTAGGATCTATAATATCATGATGAGAAATGCAGGTTTTGTTCAGAGTGCAAAAAAAGCAACAACGCATTTTACGCATGAAGCTTCAAAGTGGCCTTATCTGGTGTTCACAGGCAGTCAATCAACATGGCACAAGACAGCAGAGACCTGGGAACGGGAGTCAGGATAGCCACTGCTACGGTATAGTCACCAAGACTGCAGACACATGTGAACAGGAGACAGGATAGCAGCTGCAGTGGTGTGGCCAGCAAGACTGCAGACACATGTGAACAGGAGACAGGATAGCAGCTGCAGTGGTGTGGCCACCAAGACTGCGGACACATGGGGACAGAAGTCAGGATAGCAGCTGCAGTGGTGTGGCCACCAAGACTGCGGACACATGGGGACAGAAGTCAGGATAGCAGCTGCAGTGGTGTGGCCACCAAGACTGCAGACACATGGGGACAGAAGTCAGGATAGCAGCTGCAGTGGTGTGGCCACCAAGACTGCGGACACATGGGGACAGAAGTCAGGATAGCAGCTACAGTGGTGTGGCCACCAAGACTGTGGACACATGTGAACAGGAGACAGGATAGCAGCTGCAGTGGTGTAGCAGTGTTCTCAGGTAGCGCCATGGTACTTGCACTAAGTCTTAGTGGTAAAGGTGTTGAATGGCCCAATTAAGACAAGCGCCTTTGGAAACTATGTTGCTGACATTCACCCATTCACACATCCATACAACACATTTCAAGGAATGCCTACTATATAGTAGACACCTAGTAGCAAACACGACACGAATGAAAACTGAAGCCCAGGATAGACATATTTGTAAGCTCGATAGGGTGTGGAAGTGGCATGGCAGGGAAGTACAGGCTGACCTAGGAGCAGAGGAGAGCAGGGAAAGCCAGCTCACCCAGGAACCAGATGAGGTCGGCTGAGGAGTGGCCATGAGTCAGTCACGATGGAAGAAGGCAAGGTTGAAACCGTAAGTGCACAGAAGGACAGATGACAGAAACCGCGATAGAAATCCATCGCACGGTGCTTCTCAGACCCTTCCACAGTGGTCGCCCAGGACGATCAGAAAGCACAGATATTGGGGCTGGAGAGAGGGCTCAGTGGTTAAGGTCCTCTGCCTACCAGAGGACCCAAGTTCAGTTCCTAATACCACATGGCAGCTCACAACTGTCTGTAACTCTAGTTCCAAAAATCTGACACCTTCAAACCAATTCACAAGAAAGAAAGCTAAATAATAAATTATATAGATATAGATGAAAACATGGGTATTTACACTGCGATTCATCACAGTAGCAAAATTACAGTTATGAAGTAGCAGAGAAAATAATTTTATAGTTGGAGTCACCACAGCATGAAAGACTATATTAAAGGGTCACCGCACTGGGGAGGCTGAGAGCCACTGCTATAGTGACTGATGTGTACACTACAAGGAGAAAACAATTCCAGTGACTCTGAAGAAGTGTGGAGCACTTTCTGAATAAGGTCAATGGTCATGCGCACTTTCTTTTACACATTATAAGGGCTGCTATGGCTTAAAAATAAGCTGGGACCCCAAGGCCTGTTTTCTGGATGCGACATCCAGTCACTAGGAGGCAACTAGATAGTGTGACTGTGAGTTAATCAGTGGCTGTAAATGAATGCTTCATTTGATGGCACTGTTAGGAGGTGGTGGGAAGCTTGTACTGGCTCCTAATTCATGTAAGGAGGGAAGTCTGTGGATGATGGAGCCTGTCCTGCCTCCATCCTGTTTTCCCTTTCGCTTACTGTCTGATGTGAGATGAATAGCTTCCCTCCACTATGACTTTCACCCATGGTGCTTCTGCCTTGCATGAGCCCAAAAGCAATGGCATCAGTTAACCACAGACAAACGTTTTTTTAAAATTCTAAGTCCTCTTCTCTCCTTTAACATCTTTTTCTCTGGTATTTCTCAAAGCACTGAAAAAAAAAACCTGACCAATAAAAAAGCAAAGATTTGTCTCCAGTAAATCTATTGTCTAAGTAGCTTTTATAGTGGAGTATGGTAAGTCTGAACATTGTGGAAAAATAAATCAGGGCAAAGAACTTTCATTTCAATAGAGACATGTAAGAAAACTTGGAGAATGTCATGAGAAAACTAACTAGCAACAATGAGTAACATCATTTTGAAACATCCTACAGATGAGAGAACAAAAGCAGCAAGGAATCGAAGGTCATGGTCTGTGCATAAAACTGAAACACAGACAGCAGGGAAGAAGAACCAGAAATAACTTCTGACCTGCCAAGACTGGCTCTGCCTTGTTGGCCTCGATAGAAATGGAGGGAAATGAAAGGCAGGTTACACCTATAACATGCAGGGAGCTACTCTCCATTATACCGTTAGTATGAGACAGAGCCACGGTAAATCCAGTCTTTGCATGGGTTTGGGATCCATGTTCAAATGCATGGCTTGTGTAAAAAATTTGTTGTATATTATGAGCACAGGGTCAGAGGGAATGCACTGGAAGCAGTGATGGTTCCTCTCCACGGACTTAGTGCAAACACAGCTCTGAGTGTGTCTATGAAGACATTTCCAATGTGGTGACACCCTCCAAAGGGCAGGGGTGCAGGACTGAGTAATAGGGAGGAAGCAAGCTGAGCGCCAACACCCATGCTCTCTACTTCCTGACTGCCCCTTACCTGGGACCAGATGCCTCACTCTTCTGCAGTTTCCCACCAAGGGAGACTGTGACCTCCAACTAGAGCCAAAATAAACTCTTCCCTTTCCAGCTGCTTCTAGTCAGGTATTTGTTCACGGCCACCAGAAAAGTAGATGACATCATCACGAAACCCAGAAACATAATAAGTTTTCTAAGGTCAGCATGTGCACTTCAGGACACACTGAAGAGATCTTAGACAAAAGAGCTAGGGCTTGCAGAGAGGGGGAAATATCTCTATTTGCTTTGACTTTACCTACAACACTCAAGCAAACCAATCAACAAATTACCATGAGAAGCACTACTAAAATATGGTTATCGCTACTCTTCCTGTCCGTAAATGAAACCAGTCATATAGTATTTTTTAAAAGGCAGTGAAATGTGTGGAAATGCCAGCGAGTAAATTCACTAAGACACCTACAAGGCTGAGTGGCAAGACCACGTTGTCTACTTCCTGATTGGGACTGCCAAACGCCTCTTTCTCATCCTTCCATGACTTCACCATGAAAGACTCACCTGTTTCAGAAAAACCTAAACACATTTATGCATAACAGATAGGTGGATTTACACAGAAAGAAACGTAGACCTGGTCTGCAGTAAGAAAAATCAGCAACATACATACATTAATCCAAAATTAAATTATGGCTTTATGGTCCCCATAAAATCTCAACACTATTTCCTGGATCTAAACAATCTGATTCAAAAGGTCATGGAAAAATATGAAAAAGAAGAGCAACTAAGGGATATGTAGATATTAAAATCATACAAAGTCCTACTAAATAAAACAGGGCCCTCTATCAGTATGTGGATACAAAAGCATCAGTTACATGGTTTACAAAGGAAAAATGCCAAGCCTGCCTGCGCCTGCTCTATTCACACTCCACACAGGACATACACAACGTTTGTCACCAACAGCGTGCGAGTTCTCCATTCATCAAAGCCTCACCTACACAGTATGCGCACAAACACCTTTAGGTGTGAAATGGCATTTCACTTTTCCTTATTTTTATACTTCATGTTTTAATGACGTTTTAATTTCTAGAATTTGTATTTTCCTTGTTCATACTAGAATTTTCCTTCACAACTTATAAGAACTTTTTAATGTATTACACTCACCTTTAAAATATCTGTGTTACGAGGCAAATAGATAGCTGTTTCGTTTTGCTTGGTTTTATTTTTGCGTTTGTACTATGGAAATTCTGTTTGTTTTTATACCATTGCTTTTCTCAACTTGAAAAAAGTTGAAATCTGGGTCATAGGCTTTCTTAAATGCAAATTTGTAGGATTCATCATGTTTCTCCTGAATTGCACATGGTGTCGTCTTACGTTTCAATAGTTCATCTACTTGGAGTTTCCTGGGATGCTCTGCATAGAGTGTGGGTTCAGTTTTACCGTCTGCAAAACTTCAGCCTAGCTCCAGTACCCTCAAGGTCAATCTCAGCCACTCTTATACTGATGCTATCCTTCAAGATGTGACAGTGGTTCTCAGCCTTCCTAACGCTGTGACCATTTAATACAGCTTCGCAGGTTGTGGTGACCCCCCCAACCACAAAGTCATTTTCATTGCTACTATTAACTGTAATTTTGCTACTGTGGTGACTCATAATGTAAATATTTGGTGAATCAAAATGTAAATTTCCCAATTGGATTAGGGCTCACGACCCACAGGTTGAGAAGCACTGATATAACACGCTGTCAACTAGTAAACAGCTTTCTGTCTAATCATATACAACCCGTCCTGAGAGGACATCTCCAAAATCACCATCATTGGCTTTGTATTCAATTCTGTACTTTGTATACAATTTTGCTACTCCCGCCCATAAGAATGCCTGCTCATATACGACCGGTATACAGCCAGGTGTATCCACTGAGCAAAAGCTAGCAACAGAAGCAATACCAATAAACAGTCCCATGCAATATCTTTGAGGATAAACTTATTGTGATAATGGAGGATTAAGAAGGGTAATGAGGAGACAAGCGTCTAGACTTTTCCATGAGAAGCAAAGTACACAGGAGATCTGTACATTGAAATCTCTGACACCAAAGGAAAAACACTGTTTGGAAACATAAAAAAACAGTATGGTGCAGAAATATAAATGCTTGTTTGAAGGTGATGTCTGAAACAGCAGTATTGATTTAGGATAATGAGATATTTTAAAGCATATAGTAGATGGAATGGCCTCTAGAATACATACACACACACTCCAGGAAACAGGACTTAGAACAAGGCCACACAGACAATTAGTGTTTACAAGTGAGAATAACAGGGGCCAAAAAGACAAAAGTAACAAACAGAAGGAGTGGTCAGGGCACGAGGCACAGAAAGAGATGATCCACTGCTTAACAGTTATACCGTTTCTGTCACTGAAGGCACAAACGTCCAGATAGCTGCTGCACAGCACTGTGCCTGTGGTTAATTTTCTGTTACTATGCACTCAAAACCCTGTCTGTCAAAGGGGAAGATCTCATGCTTACGTCTTCAAATCATACACAGGAAAAAGGGAGGGTGGGGGCGTGGAGAAACTGGGTAAGAAGTCAGATTCTGAGGGTTAGAGTTTTTTCTAAGGTGATAACATCCAGAATTAGGAACCAGTCAGGGTAGGACTAAGTGCGGAGTAGAACATGTCACTTAAACTAGTCACGGGAGATCCTAGACGGCTGTAGAGAACAAAGCACCACCGGGGCATTCAGGAAGAAAGCTCCAGTGGTTAAGACACTACCACTACCGGGTGGGGCAGAACTAAGAAGGGGAGAGAAGCTGACATGTGGAATGTGGAGGAGGGATTACCTGAGTGTATGGGAAACAGGAGCTGTGGAGGAGCCGCACCCCTTCCCCCAAGAGTGATTCCTCTTCAGTAGACCTCACACCTTCCCACGCCCTTGAGGCCCGACAACCCTGTTCACCCACACCACACTGGAGTCTAGAACAACCTGAGGGGACTCCTGCTACACTTTCCTGCTAGGAAGCAAACTGCCAGTAACCAGAACCTCCCTGCCCCCACCCCAGCACCCATTCCTGGATTCTGAAGTTAAGAGAGGTCAAGGAGTGAGGATTCTACTTCCCCTCCTTCCTCCCAGCATTCACTGTTTTTAAAAGGATCTGAGGCGTGTGCACCCAGGTGTGCGGTCTGCACTGGGCACTGCTATGTCACAAAGACTAAGGATGCTTCTCCTATCAAAGAATAAGGTCCTGCGGTATAAAAGGAAGTGGCAACTTCCCCCCACTAGATACCAGCCAAAGTTCAGTCTTTGTCACCAGCAGCTTATTTTGTGACCATTGTTTGCCCTAGGCTGTTTCTTCAGCCACAAAATCTGGAGTGCAGCGGTACCTGTCCCTACCTGTGCTTGTGAATAGTCCCTGGGAATTGTGATCAAAAGTTTAAAGTCCATTCATTCCTTGGAACTGACATTCTAACCAGTAACCAACCACATTTTCAATAACTAAAAATGCAGGAATCCCTTGTGAAAAGAGAGTCCAGGAGAAATGGAAGATGTCCTAACCTTTTGAAACCCCCGCCTTCAGCCCCTCCCCACCACACACACACACTTGGTTCCTTGGGTTCTGCCAGGCTTCCCTTCAGGGACAGCTTGAGCCTACACTGCATGGGTAAAAGAACACGATCAAGTTGTTCACCTAGCACAATCAACTTTTTCCTTGTCCAAGGGATCCATATAAAACTACAATCTGGGGCTCCCCAGACTCCCCAAAGGCCTATAAGGGGTGAATTCTGGAGTCTTTTGGCTCCTAGAGAAATCCAGTCCTGTCCAAATAAAGCCATTTTTTTGGTTCCTCGATAGGGTTCGAGGTCCTGGCTGTTTTACTACTTAAAGGAGAATGAATCCGAGCAGAGTTGAGATAAGGAATCCAAACCCCTCCCAGGACAAGATCTCAGGGTCAGAAAGTTCTCTTCCCAGGATTATAGGGGATCAATGGTCATCTCTGTTCCACCATCTCCTAATTTTGAGAGAAAGGCCTCTCTCTCTCTCTTTCTCTCTCCCTCCCCTCTCTCTCTCTCTCTCTCTCTCTCTCTCTCTCTCTCTCTCTCTCTCTCTCTCCTTCTCTTCTTCCACCTCTCATTTCGCTCTCAAATCCCAACCCTAGCATAGAACCCTCAAGAGCAACAAGTCCTCTTTTTTTGACCCCCAAGGACACCACACTGGCTTTCGGTTGTCGGCTCCTGGGCAGCTGCCTTTAGTCAGGATGGCCAGCACCCAGGGCTCCAGGTCCGTGCTCCAGCTCCAGCACAACCTCGGCGCACCCCGCTCTGCCTAGGGAACCCCCGAGGCCAGGGTTTTGGCTGGGCGTTCGCAACCCGCCCCCGTCTCCAGCCGCCGCGCGTGCCTAATACGGCTCCCGGCCACACTCCCTCCCCTGCGGGACCTTGGCGCCGCCGCTTAGCTTCCTGTTGCCCTCCCTCACCTCCAACAACTTCAGTTTAAGAGGTCGCGAGGCCCGGTGACCCTATCTACGCCAGCCGCCCTGGCCCCGATGTCCCTTTCCCCAATGGTCCCCGGAGCTCACCGCTAGGGTCAGTAGGTGCGGAAGGCCAAGGGCTGGGCTCCCGGAACGCACAGGTCCTACGGACGCCATGACCAGCCCAAAGGACAGGTCGCCGCCCCGCACCCGCTGCGTAGAGGTGGAGCGCGCACAGGCGCTTTTCTCGCGCTTGTCTGATGCTCCCGCCTCGGTCCCGAGGGACTTTTCCTCTGGCCGAGGGTGGAGCTCCAGGCAAGTCCAAAAGACTCCTGTCGGCCACTCCTTGTTATTTTTCTTGTGTCTTCATGGCTTTAAGAACTCAGCCGGTTGGAACTCCCTCTCACAGCCACCCTTTCACCTGTACTATGTGTTTCTCACCAGCAGACGCCACCTATATGTCCCTTGTCACCACCGCCCCCCCACCCCGCCCAGGTGACCATCTGGTAGGATTAGCAGCTGGCCCTGCCCAGCAGAAGCCCTGACTATACTAAGACTCACTGGGGAGCTCAGGTCATGGCCCCGCCCAGTGCACTGCCCCCAGCCAGTGGAGGACCCTATCCTGGGGGTAACTCCCAGACTCACAACTCCCCTGCATCAACTGGCTGAAGTTACTCACAGCTGCCTGAAGCCATACTGATAAGAGGTGGACTCAAGGGAGATTCTACTGTGTAAATCAAAATCCCACAGACAGACGGGTAAATACAGTTCCAACAGGAGTTCCATCCTAGAGGGTTTCAAGGTTCAGAAATTACACTATTTGACAGTGACACAGGTTCTATAATTTAAGGAGAAAAAGGAAAGAAGGGAAGTTGAGGAGAAAGGAGAGGGGGGGAGGGAGCGAGGGAAGAAGGAGGGAGGGAGGGAGGGAGGGAGGGAGGGAGGGAGGGAAGAGGACATAACAAAACCGAAGTTACTACAGAAAACACATCAACTGAGGCCCAGCCATCAGCTAAATGTGGGCTACTGATTTTCTCTAAGAACTTTGTCGTATGTGAACATGTTTTCTTGTGATTTTCTCCTGAGCCATCTCCCACATGAGAGTCCCGGACATCCTGGTACCAATTTTTTTTTTTTTATGTTGTCATCGGGATTAGAGTTCATGGTGGAAAGTGAAGAAGAACAGGAGAATTTGTTCTCTGACTTGACATGCACTTAAGCCTAGGAATTACAGCAGCACTTAGCCAGGAAGATTAAGCTTGAGAACCCTGTGCTGCGCACTCCTCAGAACGGGCTTCTGACTCACCCTTCTGTGCCTCTTTTCTAAGATGCCAGGGGAGTTCCACCAGGAAGACAAATGTGTCCCTTCCCTCACCTGGTTTAAAGATGGCCGCAGAAAACAAGTTTAAAGAGATGCACACATCACTCAGTGCCATTTTAATAATGGAAATGTTTTCCTGTGATGAGCAGACCCGGAATGGTGATAACAGCAGTCGTATGTTAAATTCAACACTGATGTCTAATGGTAAACACCTGACCTCTTGATTTTTATTAATGAATGCTACATAAGTGAGTGTCCTGTCGTCTCCATAACTATAAAATTATCAGCGATTGCTAGTAAAATAAGCCTGGATCATGAGTCTGAGTGTCATGCTTTTGTTTACTTACTTCATGTTTGCCCAATGATGATTTCATAAATGCCTATCAGCTCATTGGTGATGACATCACATTGTCCAGCTCCAAGCTTTCCAGAAAGCACAGAAGCCAACTGGTTTCGGCATCACAGCTCTTGACAATAGGGCATTGCCAAACTCTTGCCTACCTTCAACCTCCAATACCTGTGGGATGCCTCATGCTCTTTCTCATCCCAGAAAGGGGTGAGAGAGCACTCTAACAATTCATCTCACAGATGCCGGATAACTAAAGCTCATAAAAGGGCAGTTTTCATTTGTTTCTTCTTGAAAATTTACTCAAAGTATTAGATAAAATTTACACATTCTAAGTCAGCCTCGCGAATTCCTCCTTGAGCCAGTTTTGAAACATCCTACCATGAAGGTGTGAGAGTAGAAGACGTGACTCTTTTTTTTTTTTTGACAGTGTCATTGGCTGTGAACATTAACTCAGCAGACATATGCCAGCTCTGTGTTACCCTAGCAGAGAATCAAAAGTCAAATCAGTTTCTTGTCCATCTTGCCCGGCTTCGAGAACTCCTTGGGCAGCGGCACTCACATTTGATAAGAAAGGTAACCCCATGCCACCTCCTCCACCTACACTAAACTGCTGGACTGCTCCTGAAAGACTTACCAAGAGACAGTTGGAGGCAGAGGATAGTTACATAGATATCACAGACCTTCAGAAGCAAAGACTCCCTAAATAGAGGAATAATGTACAACCCTAACTCCAGGGCCCAACTCTACCCAATAGTTTCACAGACTTCTAGTTTCAGAGTCCAGAATTTAAATACACTGAAGTAAACAAGCAAACAAACAAAAACCCCACTTACACAGATTTGTGCGCAAAGTCACCTGTCACTGAGCGAGTTAATTCTCAGTAATTCCCCATGTCCACGTCCCACAATTGCCAGGGTCTCTGAAAGAAACTCATAGATGAATGTGGCTTTCAGGAGGACGCTATCTAAGGTGTGTCCCTTACCCAGAACTGACAATGGAGCAAGTATGACACAAATCAAAGGTGGAAAAGAAAACAAGATTGAAACTCACTGCACAGAGCTCAGAGGTGGATGTAAGGAGCCAGCCCTGTGATAACAGCAAAGACACACCTCTTCACTGCCCAGAGTTCTCCTAAAGATTAAATGATGCGGTGTATGATGAACTCGGAATAAATGATCTTTAATTCCTTCAGGGTCTGTTATCATGGGCACCCGCTACTCCAAACTGTACTACCCCATCTCTTGTCCCTTATATCACATGCTCCATCTCATTCTTGTGACTGCCCCCTGTTTTTCTACTGCTTCGGAATGAGACTGTCCATTTGGTCTAGGACTCAGTTCTAATGCAAATTCACTCATCACTTCTAAGCCTTCCTTCACTTCTTAATCACAAGCAAAGACTTCCACAGGCATCTACTACTTAACTATATGAAGCTAAAATAAGACTATATAAGGTTTGTGTATTTTTAGAAATATGCGCCAATTTTAATTCTTTTGTAACACAAGGAAAGTGTTTTTGCCTCTCTGTTAAATAAACTATTTGTGTTCTACTGTGGCACATACTTCTTTAAACCTGCTTTTCAAAATCAGTGCCAGTGAAGTGGAATATATACATAGCAGCCACTGGTTAATGTGTCTGAGATTAAATCCCAGGCCAAACAAGCCAAGATTATCTGTTCAGGTTCTCTTCTTTCTCGTTGACTGTGCCTGTGTATTCTCTTCAGATTGGATATAGACTGCCCTCGTGCCTTATCTAACTTGGAAGTATCACTACACTCTAAGTGTTGGTGTTGCACATGTGTGCGTACATGCACACATACACACACATGCACACACACATCTGTGTTTCTTAGGTCTCTGCATTCACAGGTGTCTTTTGCTATAGGTGCTATGGTGTGTTATTTCTTTCTCTTGAAGATGTCTTCTATACCCCTGGGCAGACTAACTCCTGTCCACTGTGTATCAGCTTTCATTAATCCTCTAACAATGTAAAACTCTCTTCACTAACTAGTTCAGAAGACTTGTCACAATCATCATGATGAATTTGTAAATAAATTAATTAATATTTCTTCCTCACCAAAGATTATACTTAACTTCTATGCCTTTATTTTGTTTTGGTTCGCCCCTACATCTCCTACATGAGCACACTTCCCAAACAGCTGACAATTAAATGTTTGTGGAATGAATGAACAAATGAGCAAATGGGTGAATGACAAATTCACAGCAATTTTGAGCATATTTTTCACAAATAATTCTTTCCTTTTTCTACTCCCCAAAGAAAAGAAAAGCAAGGAAGCCCTTACTCAGCTCTACCCCATCCCAAGGATAAAGTGATGTTGAGTGGAACAGACTGTTTTCAGCTTTGCTCTAGTATCTGAACTGCAAGAGAAGCTGGTCCACCCATCACTGAAACATATCTTTCTCTTGACTTCTGTTTTTCCGTCCCATATTGATGCCTTTTCTTGTATGACCTCTCAATATTTCAGTGCTATGGGACTTAGTGCTGCTCCTACATCATGGTTCCCAGTTTTCTCACTCCAGTCTCCAACTTTAAGTCTTGGCAGGATGCTGAGACCAGCATCTCTAAATCTGTTGCAGATCTCTCTCTGGTTTTTAGGTTTCAGCTGCATATTCCAGTCTTAACTCTGATATCTACAAGGTCTTGCAAAATTCATCTTTCTTCTTTCAGTCAAGACCAACACCCCCTTTCCAGTAGTTTATCAACCTTTTTGGTCCTTCTTTTTTTCTTTTATTCTAGGTCCGATCAGTAAGTTCTACCAAAGGCACCTGAGAAACATATCTGGACTTCACCTTGTTCTCACCTTTTCCATCAATACTGTCTGCTTCAAACTTTCATCATCTCTCCAGACTATACCAAAACCCTCTCAATTAGCCTTTCTTTCTTTCTTTCTTCCTTCCTTCCTTCCTTCCTTCCTTTCTCTCTTTCTTTTTTTGTCAATGCTCCTAAGTTTAATTTTTTTAAACCAAGCAACTTTGTTGTCTTTGTCATTAAATAAATTAGGGCTGAATCTAACTCACACTCCTATAATCCCAGCCCTCAAGACAATGAGGCAGGAAAATCAGGAGTTTAAGATTAGCTGGGAGGGGGAGAAGGGGGGGAAGAGGGGGAGGGAAATGGGAGGCTGGGAGGAGGCGGATATTTTTTTTTCCTTTTCTCAATAATAAAAAAAAAAGATTAGCTTGGGTTATAAAGAGAGCACTTTCTCAATAAATCACTAAGAATTAAATAAGTGTAAATAGCCTAGATTGATATGTTATTGTACTAAGTTCTTCTAAAATTCTTTCAATTTTTTTTTACAAAAAAAAATAAATAAATAAAAATCCCACAGAGGTTTCTCATCCCAGCAAGACCAAATGCCAAGTCTCTTCAACAGTCTCTAGTATTTGAAAGGCCAAGTGCTACATGGCTATTCCAGTGTGTACAGAAAGTGTGAGAAAGTCATTTCTTGAGGCTTACCTCAAGAGGCTATTCACAACCTGATACTGCTTCCTGGAAGCTGAAATGTATCCCTCCCTCCGCACAATCTCTGGTCAACCATGTCCACCTAACAGAAGATAAGCCATCTCTTGGTGATCGGACTCTTTTGTTTTTACCTCATTCAGCTTTTCTTTCTGTGATATTTTTTTATTGAGATGAAACTCAAGTTGTTCTCTCTCATGTTAACTATATTTCACTAGAAAGCAAGCCTCAGGACTGGAGCTGTAGCTCAGTTGGTAGGTTGCTTACCTAGCATGCAAAAGCCCAAGGT